AAAAATGACGAAAGTCAAACAGATTTGAAAGTGTAAGACAGACGAAGCAGTGTTCTCATGGCGTTTCCTTGCCTTTATGGAAAGTTCTGCCTCTGAATGAGAGAAAGTGATAGAACTCTGAAACTTGTAGGATATGAAGACAACCTTTATCCTCACCACCAAAAAAACTTTCAGCCCTCTACGACTTTTCTGGACAGAGTTGTGATTTTTTTAATTTTGCCTGACATGAGAGAATGCGTAAAATGCCCATACTCCCCAAGGGAAAAGTCTCCGCCCGAACCCTTTTAGGCTTTTTACCCACTCCACATGCCCTATCGATCCACGCGAGAACGAACGAAATCGGAGTGCTTCATCTCCATAGGTTCCCTCGTAAGTAGTTTGATGCTATAAGACTGTCGAATAAAAAGGTCTACAATATACGCAGCATTTTGTAACATTCAAACAGGTATCTGCTTTGGAACGAGTTGGCTTCGCACAAGCTTCAGTGTTAAGATACCAGCAATAAGTGTACACTGTAAAAAATAACGTAGGTCAGTGAACTAATGAGATTTTTGAATTGATCCATTTTACCTACAGAGACGATTTTACTCACTGGTGACCCATTTTACTTTTTACACTGTAAAATCCGTAAAGAGCAAAAAGCAAGTAATATTTATCTGGAATTTATTTAACCCTTGCCTAAACTAAGTGGTTTGATGTTATACGACTGTCGACATTATTTCGCTAAGAGAAAATTTAATTACTTAAAAAAATATGGTTAAATTTTTGAACAACGGACTATTATTGAAAAAAAGTCTGTCCATTCTCCATTCATCAGAAAAACTTCGTTCTTGCCTAGATCTATTAAGAAATGTGTGGAGAATATTTTCTACGAGAAAACCACATTGTCTTACAAATTTTAAATAAAATAATTAGGAAGAGAAACAGAATGAATAGAGTAATAAATCCACACGAGCTATTGGTGTTATGCCGGTGAGCGCTTTTTCAATTTTAATGTTTAATTCTTATAAATTTCATCATTATCCAAATCATCTACATTGCCAATATTCAACGATCGTTTTATTCGTATCTTGGAAGAGAGAGTGAATGATGTCGTCGTTGTATGTAGCACTTCGAATGAATTTTGAATTTTTTGATTTTTCATGAAAATAGTCGTAAAACAGTTAGTTCACTTAATATAGATCTCAACAAAGTTTTTGAATGCATTTCCGAAAACAAGAATTGCCACGAGACGCAGCGTAGCCTATGCCATACTTGTTTTCAATGTTGTCAATATCATTTTACATCAGTCATTCAAAAGTGGACACTTGCGCTGTCTACGCATATGCAAAAAGAAGCCATTTTTTCTATAAAGCATTACTCAAAATATATTTGAAGCCTTGTTTATTTCGTAACATATAGTAGTCTTAATAAAAAACAGAACATAAAAGTATTAGAGATACCGTTGTTGTTTTGTGGTTATGCTTGCTTCAATAAAATACTAATTATTTCTTCAGCATTTGGGGCAATTTACCCATGAAAATTAATATGATCTACTGTATCGGTTGACTGATGTACGAAACAATCATGGAGTCTCCATCACTCACTGAACTACTAAATCAGAAAAGGAACTAATTAGCAGAAAAACTGATTAAAACTATAAACATAATGTTGAGCAGTCTATTTTTTAAACATCATTAACCATTTTAAATCAACTCGCTTTTGTTAGCGTCTTAGAATAGTGTGTAATTTGTCCATAATCTGTGGTAAGTATTTGTTCGGTAATTTTTCTTGCTCGCTTATAACCTTAATTATATAAACTCGTGATAATTTCTATTTCGAGAGGTGAAACTTTCAAATATGTACGTTTGCTTTTTGATATACTAATCGAAAACATGATTTAGTGAAGTGTCTTCTTTTTCAAAACAGCTGTCAAATGAGCTATTCCACCTAATTATCTACTTGCCTGGCCAAAGAAGAAAAGTGTTTTTGAAAAAACTAAGAGCATCATCTAATAAAGCACCTTTCGAGAGCACATAAGTATAAATATTAGTCCAGTTAAGGTCTCGTATAGTTAAGACTATACCTACGGTTCACTGTAAGAAGAAGAAGAAAATAAAAAATGTAACCTTTGAAAGCTGTTTTTGTTTTTCTTTCTTACGAACATCCTCTGCACTCCTTGTTAAAACCAAACATATTTTCTGATAGCTGGTAAGAGGGCCTATTACTTTATCTAATATTTATATTGTACAACAAATTTCTTGTACTGTTTCGATTATTTGGTCATTTTCAGCGTAGACCTTTAACGAAAAATTCAGTATTTTAGAAATAGTACCATAATTATGAGATCTTTTATTTTGAGTTTAGCTGTACGAAAAGAGGCTTTTTTACTAATTTATTTAGTGTTAATTCAGCTATCTAGTGGTTATTTTCGTTTATATAATAGTGGTAGTTCTGATGATGATTTCCATTGTCTCTATTTACATAAATCGAGATATTATTTTTTGATTTACGATTCTCTTTTAAATAAGCATATGGTAACATGTTACTGTACTCAAAATGACTCATATGAATTTTCTAATTTTCGGTGAAAATAGGCAAAATGAGATATTTCGCCTAATATAGGTTTTCACTAAGTTCTAGAATTCTTTCCGAAAAGTAAATGTTTTCACGAGACTCAACGTGATCGACTGACGTTAGATTTTTCAGTTACGAGCTGATTTTCCAAAGATCTTCTGAGATCTTCTTTTTTTTTCCGAAAATGGTTTTGCTTATGAAAAGAGTCTCTAATCTCTCAGCTATCAATTAGTAAAAAAACGCAGGTCGAAATCACTTTCCGTCTCGGAGTTATTCAAAAAACAACCATCCAAATTTTAATTTGAAATGGCTGGTAAACGAACGAAGCGATTTAATAAGATTCGATAATTAAAGCGCGGCGAATTTTAAAATTCTTTTACTTTACTTTCCTGCAGTTTATTATGATTTTCAACCATTGGCTGGTATCAAAGCGACATCTGATCGGCACCTGATAATAACAAGATTTTCAGTCCAAAAAGGATTTTGAAGATTTTATAAGCAATTTCGCCTAAAGAAACGTTTTTATATCGCGTCTGTCACATCAGGTAAGAGAAAATCTAGTTCATTTCTTTCTTTTTGTTGTTTGCATTTTCATTATCTTGGCTTGTCATACAACTTTCGTGTACAAGACCGGCCAAAAGTACATAAGTACATATTTATTCGTCCTTAATTAAAAAACTTGACAAGATGAAAGAAAACGTTTTAGAGACAGGATAGTATCTATCCATTACATTCAAGATAAGAACAGAAAAAAAAGCAGTTATGTAGTTCATTGGACTGTTCACCAAAAAATTTCACTTCGATTCGAACATGTTCTACCAAAGCATATATAAAAAAACAGAAAAATGAAGAATAACCCATTTTGTAGGCCTGTTCCACTCCTCCATTGAATACTGAGAAATAATAAACTTACGCGATTAGTTTTTATGTGAATAAGTCTTCGAATCTGATCGTCCGAACACATTCATACGGTGCATACCACATTCCAAATTCTGATGCTGCCAAATGAATATGTAATGTAATATTGCCATTTGATTCAAGTTCTACTTCAATCGCATGTTCAGTCCAGCCTTCACACGCGGATTGTAATAATGAACGAACATTCTCAACATTTAGATGAGTTAGGTTCCTTTTCAAGAGATATTCCGTTTCCAAACGATGACGCATACTTTCATATCGATGTACCGAACTAAAGCTCACATGTAAACCAAAATTACGAAAATCATCGTATGGTGAAGGAGTAATATCATAAAGATGAAAATGATTAGTTGCCATTATACAATCCGGAATATAAGGTGGTGCTTGCATAGATCTTCTGATACATCCGCCATATCGATCACCTTCTAATATAAATGCATTATCTGCTTCATTTGAATTTGTAGTTAGCATAAATACACATCCAGGACCACAAATTGGACCTTTCAATTCATTAGTAGCTCGTATAACAGGCCATACTTTTGAATCATTATTGAGTGTAGGATCAGCTGCAAATGTCTCGAACGCGCTTTTTACATTGGTTATTGTGGCTGAACGAGCATTTAATGTTCGTAACACATGAGTAGCTACATATGAAATCGGTGTTAAACCTTTGATTTGACCACCAATTTGAGAAGATCCAGCATTTTCCATGCAATACAAACCAGTTTCATTTACTCCTGATAGAGTGCCAACCATACCAGGCCACATTAAGCTAATGTAACGATACTGTTTAGACGTATCTGAACTATTTACTGCAAATAATAAAGTAGTTGATACAGTTACACGACGAATATCACACTCGCCATCCATATTACGACCTGCAATTACTCGTTTATCAGCCGTTAAACTATTCCATACAGCAACTTGACTACAATTCGGTCGATTGGTAGCATTATTGGTTGCAGTAGTTCCAGTTCTTATAGTCTCAATTGTATAAGGATCTGGTCTTACCGTTCGACGTTCAATATATGAATTCATTGCAAGTAAATCAATAAGATTAAATGATCGATTTAATTCATAGAGAAAAAGATCACAATTCGTTCGTGCTTGCATTCCATGTAGAATTCCTTGAATTTCGAGCAAATATTCGACAGGATAATGAAAGAACTTTGCAGCTGGATCGACAAGTGTATAGAATTCTTTGTATCTTGCTATTGATCCAAAGTTCTCTTCTAATAGATAGAAGTAGAACCAATCCAGTATATGAGGAGCTAATAAATATCCATGTGAATAACCACGATCAACAGGTGACGTCGCATTTAAATATAATATTGGCACACGATTGATTGTATAAAATAGTGCAGTGTCTGTCTTAAGTGGATAACCAACAGCAAAGAACGAATGAGGTTTACGTAATATAATATTCGCATTTCTAATATTTGTATTCGAGTTGGAAATTGTATGTTGAGTCCATTTACTGGCTATTCCGCTGACAGTCCATCCAAATGCTTGTTTTTGAGGATAAACAAATGACCCATTAGCTTCTTTACAATCTTCATATGCAAAGACTGAATAAACACCTGGTGATAAATTCTCAATAGTGTAATCACACGTATAAAGAATAGGTTGAGCACAACGAGAAATGCTAGTTCGTGATTTTGATTTTTCAACTGTACATGTGATAGTTGCTGCAGATTTGTTGTGTTTCAATACCAAATCTTCCATTGTAAGTTTTGATTCTTTATCACTCACTCGATAACATTTTACAATAATACTTAGTGAAGATTTGTTAGAGTCATTATCATCTTCACGTGATGGACATGCTAACTGATTACAAGTAATTGTGCCTGATATAGACATAATTTTGACTGATCAGCTATGTGTAATCCAACCGATAACGTTATTGATCAACAATCCTCACAAACTCACGATTGCTTTTTGTTTGATGGAGTTTTATCGGTTTTCTGTTGTAAATTTATAGTCGGAGACCAATCAAATAATTTAACATGATATTTCACAACATTAACAGCGCTATATGTTTGATACCCAACATATAAATAACTATTGTCCTTATCTATAATTGAAATCACAGATGGTTTTGTTCTTTCCATTCTCTTTTTCTTTATACGGAAGAATACAAGTGCTAGTGTTTATGGTACGGCCACACCGAAAATATACTTGAAAATTGAATAAGGCCATCTGAGAATAAAGACAAACAAACAAGAAGAGCAAATATTGGATTATTAAAAGAGACGTTCTTTCCCTATTGCATTGAAGAAGGCCATTACGTTACGAAATTATTTTCGGCTGAAACTTATCTCATTCTAGCCGCCGTATAACATTACTGATAAATCCAAAGTTTTCGTCTTTAGAGCCTTTTTGTTCCTGAATTATGAAACTTTTTCTGAGGGCATAACCATGATTACGACTGTCCTATACGGTCGTATACGTCAAATTACGCCATCGTAATTTGACGTATACTATAGTATTTCATCGTATTTAGACGTAAACCCGGCTAACGTATTACGTCAGCCGTTGCCACCGTCGTATTTCGTCTTATTTCAACATAAACGACGTCGTTTACGATGGACGTAATACGTTGACCGGGTTTACGTCAAAATACGATGAAATACTACAGTATACGGTCGTGAATGTTTGACCTGGGATTATATACGCAAGTATCATAGATGCGCACAGAAATATCATTCTGAGTTGATATTTGCTCTATTCGGCGATCTAGACAATGCTTAAGTACAAAACAAACATGATATTCGGATTCAGCTGAAGTCAGTGCTCTCACAGTTTTTATTTAACAGTTTTGATTTTTGATTTTCTCAAATTCGAATGTCATGTTTGCTTTGTCCTTGATAGCAAAATCGAGCAAATATCACCCCCACCCCGCGGGGGGGGCCGCGGGGGGGGGGGGGGGTGGGGGGGGGGGGGGGGGGGGGTGGTG